GTTCAGGGCTCCCTAAATCACTTACCATGTTCTCACGGGCCAAGGATGACGCAGAGAAGCTGGTGCTCCAGCTCTATGTTGCATTGGACAGCTGTCTTACCTGGTGTCTGTATCCTGATTCCTACCTACTCCAGTGAAGATTTCCAGTAGCCCCTGAACATATGGTTTGAGCAGGCAAAACCCCAACAGACATCCAGAAGGCCTGGAGCAGAGGGTACCCAGCAATTTCCTACTGAATATACACAGTGAACCTGAAAAAGTTGCAACTCTGTCTGAATTTGGGCTTGGAGCTTTGTGTATGGTTTTAGGAGCAGTCTAGGGACTTTTTCTGTGTCGTTCCAGCAAAACAGCTCCCATGTGTCATACTCCAACATCATTGAGTCAGAGCGGAAAGCACATGGGGGTGTGATCTCCCGAAGTTTTCAGCTGGAGGTACATTTTGATTGTGTCTATGCCTACGAGCAGGTGGTGAAAGTGCCCTTCGCTCTCACCGCCATCGACAGGTGAGTAGTTTACCTTACCTTGCCTTTGACATGGTATCTTTCAGCCTGTGGAAAAATAGATGCCTTCAATGAGATGATCTGCAAAGGCCTTGGGGAGGCAGTAAGGAGCTCTGAGAGCAATATCACATCACCGTTCCTCCCTCCTCTCATCCCAGAGAGGGCCCCAAATTAGATTTCAAGATAAGGCTGGAATCTGGACTGCCCCAAGGAGGGGGATATGCACATGCAATTTGCCTTCCTTCTACTTCCTCTATTGGAAACAAACTCGTGAAAAAATAAGGGGAGGGGCCTGGAAGACAACCCCACCTGACCCCTGTGGAGGTGCAGGTTGGGGGCTCCTTGGGTCACCTTTCTCCTAGCCCTCACTGCCCAGTACTTCAGTGGGAATCTTTGAGTAAAGCAGAGTCTGAGCAGAGTAGACCCAGGGCCATCCTTGCCTTTGTCCTCACTACACATGTACAAGGCTGGGAGGCAGCTCGGGGCCAGGCTCTCAATGAGATAGTAGGGCTCCACCTGGGAGGGAAGGGAGCAGAGGAATTTCCATGTGCAAAGAGTTAGTGCATGCAGGACCTTCATCTACACTAATGGCTTAACTTGTGCTATGCCCATCCTGCCTCATTCTCATTCTGTTCATGACCGCTCTGCTCCTTTTCTCTCAGGCTGGTGCAGTTTGTGGTCAAAGAAGGGCACTTCAACGTGACCATGAAACTTTACAAGACACCCTCCTACCTCCAGCCCTATCACCACCAGCCTGCAGCCATCCCCCTCACAGACACACTCTATGTCATGCTGAAGATAGAAGGGCAGCATCAGCTCAGGTACTTCCTCCTGAGTGTTGAGGACTGCTGGGCCACACCAAGTTCAGATCCCTATCAGGCTGTGCGGCATGAGCTCATCAAGAAGGGGTGAGTGGTGTCTCTAGTGTTCGTGGTCTCCTTGCCACAGGCATCACTAGCACAGTCACATGCCTTTGCTGGGTGCTGTGGACAGGTTGTTGCAAGGGAGCAGTGAGTCAGTCAAGTGTTTCCCAGGCTTGAACAGCTGGAACAGCCAACCCAGCAGATGAACCCCCTAACTGCTCTGAATTGAGCCCTTTTCTCCTAGTGTTGCTCTGCTTGCAGTTGGGCTGCCTTTCCTCAACAACACACCCAGCACCATTCCAAGCCCGCTGGGAAGGCAAAGGGCAAGGATGGAAGAGAAGGGCATTGCTGTGGTATGCAGAGAGGTCTACTAAAGAGGTCCATGTTACAGGTGGCAGTGGCCAAGCTAAAGCTAGTAATGTGGATATCCAGGACGTGAATCCCCCCCAGCCAGGCTCACTCCCACCTCACAGAACAGCTATGGCCACGCAGAGCAAGACACTAACCAGCTCCCTGCCCTGGTGGCAGCTCCTCCCTGTACTGGACACAGCATAGGGAGCCAAGGAAGCCTGTCCCCACAAGCACTGAGAAAGAAGTACTCCTGTTCAGCTCTGCCTGAAGGCTGTACCTTGTTCCTGTGTGCTCTGGTGCAAATTAGAACTACCGGTACTGCACGCTGGGGTGCTTTCCCTCATTTTCCTCTGCTAACTCAGCTATCATGCCCCAGGTGTCCCCATGATGAGACGGTGACATACCTCAATGCCATTGGAGAGAGCACTATGGCCAAGTTCAGCTTCCAGATGTTTCAGTTTGTTGGTTACTCAGAGGTGTTCCTGCACTGCCGTGTTCGGCTGTGTCTCCCAGACAGCCCAGAGCCCTGTGCCAAGGTGAGCTCTCCCTGCTGTCTGCACTGTGCCCTGGCCTAGTAGAGGGAATCTCCCTTCTCTTGGCCTGCAGTTTGGAGAAAGGACTCTGCTCTGGCCTGGCCTCCAGTACCTCAGCACAATAAGCACTGCTGAACAACAGGGGCTCACCCCACGGCCCTGAACTAAAGTTACAAGGGCTTGCACGCACCAGGTGCTCCTTTTCCCCTTCTCTCCTGTGCATTGGGTGGCTGTGGGAGAAGACCTTTATGTTGGGACTTGGAGAGTTTCTAAAGGTTCCTTTAGAAACTAGCTCCTTTCTCATGGTCTGCAATATCAACTCTTCCCAGGCAGAAGCCCCAAATGTGCCTCTGCCAAGAGGAGAGCATTGGGACAGATCTTCCACTTAGCAGGCTAGTTGGGCAGGCTTCTCCCCTGCTCTCTGGTCCCATCTCCCTTCCCTTTGCTTTGTCAACAGCAATGCCCAAGGCACTCAAAGAGTAAGCGAGCACTGGCAGATGACTACAATAAGATTGTCTCCTATGGACCCATCCACCTGCTGGCTGCTCCCTCCTCAAAAGCAGAGACCCTCCACTCCAAGACTGATCAGAAGGACTTTGGGGGTATGTATGTCCCTCCAGGGAGGATGGAAACAGCTCAAAGACCCTTGCAACTGTCTAGGTAATGCCACATTATTTTAAAAGGGCTGTTAAAAACCACTGCACTGCACAGGAGCGTGGAGTCTTTCAGGTATCATTGCCATGTGCTGCGTGCTCCAGAAATCATACGAGCATAAAGAGACTAGTGCTGCATGAGCTGCTGCCAGATGAGGCATAGGACAGGCTCGGCATAAAAGCAGGGCTGAAAGGGATCAAGAGCCGGAAGGCTAGAGGTACTGCACCTGGGCAGTGAAGGCTGCTTTTTCAAAAATGGTGGACTTCAGCATCAACCCAGCAAGCCAGACTCCTCCTGAGAACTAAGGTCACTCTAGGAAAACCAAACAACAGTCCAGGAAGAGGGCTGGGGACAAACCCACCTGCAATATAGCTCAGAAGAGGAGTGAAGGCCCAAACCTGAGCTAAAATGGAGCCATTGGGCAGAGGGTGTGGATGGAGGATCCAGGTGAGGCTGGTCAGGGCAATTAAAGCCTATTATCGCCCACAGGGCCCTGACAGACCTCCAGCCCCAGGGACTCTTACCCATCACAAGAGACGACCTCCTCTACTTGGCTCCTGTCCCAAAATTCCTGCCAGCTGGGAGATTCTGTATCATCACCCAGGCTCTGCTCAGGAGACCCAGATGCATAACCAACCTTTCTTCTCTTTGGCAGGACCCAACATGTGGCTTCCTGGGGGCCTAGTTCTGCTGTGTGTGCTTGGCGTGTTCACTGTGGCTGCTGTAGCCATCACCATGAAGAAACGAACAATGTAGAAAATAGCTGTTTCCAAATAAACATGGCAATAGCAAGTTGTCAGCTTTGCCTGCTTCTTAGCAGGGATTTGGGGGAAGGCGGCAACAGCTATTTTCAAATAGTGCTCAAAGAATGAGCCACATCAGGGGATTTTTGTTCCCTGCAGTACCCCTTGCACCTTCTCACCCTCTCCTGGCCCACATTGACTAGACTTGAAACATGCACCTGGGAAAGCTGAGGTATAGGGGCAGCACAAGGGGTAGAAGCAGGGCATGAAGCTGCCTCGTAGGGCTCCATCCATCTGGTGTGGGATTGGGCATGCTGCTGTGCTTTGTGGGATCCAGAGATACTAGCTGCAGCAAGCCCTGCTTCTGGGCTTTGCTTTGTGATTACAGGGAGCAAATGCAATAACTATTTTTCCCCAGAGTCTTTCTTACACTGGGAGGATGGTGGATTTGAGAAGTAGTAGTCATCACAGCTCAGAGCAGAGGAAAGAGACATTTCTAAAATGGTCTCATTTGTAGAGTAGAAATTTTCAGAACCCTTGAATGCAGGGGAGAGGTTCTTCCTTCCTGCTTTTTCCTCCCTGGAAAGAATCACCCAGAAGTGTGGGGCGATTGAAGTACTCACATTAGCTATTTGCCTACCAAAACTTGAATTCGCTTAGTTCTTTGTGACACAGATGATGTAGCATTAGCACAGAGAAAGTACTGCTCTGAACAGTGCGTGTGTGTGTGTGTGTGTGCGCGGCACACGCATATATTTCTTCCTTCTGAAGGATGGCAAATGGACCTATTGATAGAAAGATTTTTTTAAAATAAAGAAAATAAATATTGTTGGCTTGTAACCATCAAAGACGCAATTCATAGTGCTCAGACAGCTGACAGAGATTTAATACTAAAGCACAGATACAGAAGAGACAACCGTTTGGCAAGATGGTTGCATGTTTATGCGCACATGCTCAAGCAAGCAGTGTGGTGGACCTAGTGCAGCTCTAAGGAGCCATGGTGCAGCTGGCTGAGTGCAGAGGAATTGCAGCTGACTAATGCTTGAAGTGTTGAAATAAAGTATCCTCAGTGAGACTGTTATTAGTTGCAGAAAATGTCTTGCAGGATGGAAGTACAGCAGCCCTTGGAAGTACAGTATAGCCCATGCCCTAAAAACCCTGTCACCATTCATTTTGGAGCTGTATTGCTGAGAAGTTTGCGGGGTTCAGCTTTTTTGCTAATCCTCAGACCTGAGCTTCCTGGCTCTGGGCAACTAAATTCCCCCCTGACTCAGTCTGCAGAGTCTGGGTACAGCAGTAAAACCAATCTCCAGGCTGGTCCGGTGCCAAGCTCCATCTCTTCTGCTGGGAGTAAGGAACTAAAACTGGGATGGCTCCATCCAGGCTGAATGCAGACAGCTCATGGACTCTCTGCTCTCCTGGCAGGCATTTGTAGGAAATGAGAGCTGAGGGCCACTTCTGAGGCCATGGGAAAGTTGCAGCTTGGAGGGACTTTGGCAGAAGGGATGTATCCAGAGCTCCTTGCACAGAGGCGCTTCATGCTGCCTGCAGCAGACTACTTGGAATTAAAAGGCAGCCAAAGCAAAGAACCCTGTTACGGGGCTCACTCCCACTGAAGGGTAAACTGAGGCACAGGTGAGGACCCTGGGGCCATGCTTCTCTGCCAGGGTCCCCAGCTGCTTTCCTAGCCCTTGCTCTCTGAAGTGAGGCTATATGTCCCTTAGACTAGAAGCTTGCTTGCAGTGGGTACGCTCGATGTCAGGGAGGGACATCTGGCCAACAGTTAGTCCTGGGAAACAATTGTGGTTTTGTCGTTCCTGGTGATATGGGAGGAGAAACCTACGATTTCTTCTTTCTTTGGATAGTACAGAACAACCAGCCAGATGAATATGAAGAGACCTGAAGGAGAAAGGCATTGATTAGCAGCAGCAAGAGAGGGTAGAAATCATCCTGCTGGAACGCTCACTGTGGGATGCACAGGACCCTGATCCAGCTCATTCCTCACAGGTACTTTTGCTGGGAACAGCTCTGAACTCACTGCTGTTAATTCCAGGGTTGGATTTCCCCCCCTCCCCCCAGCTCCTTCCTGCTTCTTCAGTAAGGACTTCCCATGTTTAAGGTGATAAATTCAACAGGGACTTGCCCAGATGGATCATGTTGTGCCTCTGCTAAAGAATGGATTCCTTGCAGAAAATGTTCCCAGGTAAAGAGTGGATGTGGGTTAGGAGCCATGGCCACATTATTGCCAACCACCTCTTTCTCCAAGCACCTTTACAGCCAGTTCGAGGCTTAGCACTGATTTCTCCACTCCACTCCACTCCTTGTTAAAGGGAAGGCACCTTGGTGCCAGGGTGCTGCCATGGGACCACTAGTCCAAGCACTGCCCGGCTTGCGCCTGCCTCCCTCCACCTTCATAGCCCAACCTCTGGGAGCCCCATGCTGCCAACATGCTCCCGAGCTTCAGGCTGGCCCCTGACCTTGGAGGGAGTTCAGGATGGTGAAGAGGTAGCGTATGGCCACAGAAGTGTTGCCGTAAGTGAGGAATGCCAAAGCCCAGGTGGCTCCCAGCAAGCAGAAGAGTCCCATTGCCATCAGGCCCACTTTCCAGGTCTTCCTAGTCTCCTTTGCAGCCCTGGTGCTCTGCAGGTGGTAGTTCTTCCAGGCCACCACCCCAAAGATGACCATGTTGAAGAGGAAGATGAGGCCAAAGTAGCCACAATTTGTGATGTAGTGGACCATGATGTGTTCAGAATTGATCCAGCACCTGAGAAGAAACAACATCAATGCTCTGCTCCTCTAGACTTTCAGAGCAGCATCCATGGAAACCCCACCCCCTCCTTGTCTCCTCAGGAGGATATGTTTTGGGATGTGACAGGCTTCCCATTGAGACAGAGATGCAGGAAGTGCCCTCATTGCAGTTTTTTCCAAGGCCAGAATGAAGCATTGAAGATGGGGATACAAATCTGCTTTTCTTGTACTCTTCAGCGGAAATGGAGGAGTGCGCAAGGAAAATCTAACTGGACCTTGGATGGTTTCCATGACTTAGGGGCCTGTGGGCATGATAGAGGAGGCTAGGTGTGA